TCACTGTTTGCTTCAGTTTCCTCATCTATAAAATGAGCTGGCAAACCACTCCAGTATCTTTGCCAAGAAAACCCCAAATGGGGTGACAAAGAATCAGACATAAGTGAACAACAACAACCCTTCCTGATGCCATTTTACAGTTCCAGCCCTCCTCTGTCCTGAACTAGGGTGAATGCACAATTGAGGTGAGATTTTACCTGCCTTTTGGGCACTTACAGTCTGGTTGGGACATAAGACATCAACCCAGAGACCTATCTGTGTGTCATCTGTAACCCTGTTTCTGAGGTGTGAGCAGAGATGGGGTGAGGTCTTCACTTTCTTGGTGGTATCTGAGCAGAGGCTGGACCACTCACTGGGTTTGTAAGAGAGGATGCTACTTTTGACTCTGGCTTGGAATTGATGGTCACTGTGCTCCCTCCCAACTCTCCAATGCTGTCATTCTTTCAGTCAAGCAGCAAGCACTAATTAACAAGTGCTATATGCCAGGCTGCTTGCTAAAATTGTTAGGGACACAGAAAGCGCGAGATCCGAGTCCTTGCCCTCCAGGAGCTCACATTCTAATGGCCCTACCTCTCTCAAGGTAGCCCAGGATTCATCACACCAAGCTTCTCTAGCTCGCTACTGACTCACTTTCACTTTTCAGTCAACTACAACCCCAGGAGTGGCTTGGTTGGTTTTTCTAATGGACCCCTCTCAAACTCGACCTTCCACCTTCTTGGATACATGAAGTTCAGTGCTTTCCTTTAACCCACATTAACCAGTCAACACACAATGATTAAATGTCCAGTATGTGCCGGGCACCTTACATTGTTGTCTACCAATAAATTTCACCAGATTAGATTTGGCCCAGGATTCCAACCTGTCAATATCATTCAGAATCCTGACTGTCATTCAGTGAATTCCCTTTCTCTTCTTGCTTGTGGAGATTCAGAGGGGTTTGAGCAAGAAGGGGTCTTGGAAATCGTCTGGTTCAACTTGGAGGAGTTGGTTTGGGTTTTTTTTTTTGTTTGTTTGACAGATTTTACAGAAAAGAAAACTGAAGTCCAGGCATGTAAGATAAGCTAGTGAGTTCAGCTCCTCCTCTGAGGTTACTTCCATGCCTGATTGGGAGTCTGGGGCTCAAATGTGTCGGGTATTCTTTGGCCAGACATCTCTTAGAGTCTTAGATATCTCTTTTTTGGTGTCACAGGAGGGAAAAAAAAGTAGCTATGAATTCTGAAAAGAGTTGGAAATTTTAGATATGTGTATCATCAGTTTATGAATGTGTTTCATCAGTTTCTAAGGGTATACTTCTAAGAGGAGGGGAGGTTTGAGGAAGAACTCGGTGATGGGCAGTCAGGGGGTAGGGTGGGCACTTACCTGGGGAATCCTGTAGAGGCCCAGCCATGTGGCCATGGGGGTGGAGAGTGCAGACCAATCTCTCCAAGGTTGGCAGCCAGAGGGGGCCTCAGGGAGAGCACAACCACAGTTAGGGATGGGGTACCCCTGGCCAGTCAACAAGGCCATTGTCCCCCACAGGGCCCCCAACTCAGAGCTCAGATGGCGAAACCCAGAGTGAAATTAGGAAGAAGCTGAGGGTTATTGTTGATTTCCTCAATGGTGAAGACAAAACTCTGGACCATTTGGTAATGAGCAGAGGAGAACCTAGGTTAGACAGATCCCAACCACAGGGACAGGGTAAGCTCTCCATTATGACATAAACCCCCAAATGTAAAAGACCTCAGTAGGCACCTCATCCAACCTGGATTGGACCTAGGGGGAGCCATTTCAATACCCCTGACAAAAGGCCATCTACTCACTACCTCCTGTGGGGGTGCCGCATTCACTTTTGGACAGCTCTCAGTGCTAAGAAACTTGTCCTTAGACCAAGCCTAAGTTTTTCTGTGTGGTAGCTCACCCTACCCCTAAATTTCTAGTTCTGTCCTTTGGGGCCAGTCAATCATTCAACATGCATTTATTGAGCACCTCCCATGCGCCAGGCTCTAGGCTAAGCGCTGGGGATACAGGGACAAACAAAATAGTTCTTCCCACCCCCATTCCACTTTATATTCTATCTGGTGAAACAAGAACTACAAGCAGAAACAAAAGTATACAAAGTAAACACAAGAGAATTATTGTGGAGAGATACAATCAGCAGGGCTCTCATGAAGGGTATTTGAGCTGGGCCTGGAGGGAACTGAGGCGTTTCAAGATGTGGAAGAGGAGAGAGAGGGTACGTTCTAGGGGTGAGGGACAGCCAAGGCAAATGCAGTTGGCTCAAAGAGAGCACAAAGGGGAAGATTGGAGGAAGATTGGGAAGATCTGCCATGCTAGAGGACTTTGTGTTTGCTCCCAGAGACAATAGGAAGCCATTAGAGCAAGGAAGTGGCATAGCTGGACCTGTGCTGTAGGAGAATCACTTTGGTATTGGTGGGACTTTTAGACTAGAGAGTGGAAGAGGCTGAAGTTAGGAAGACCAGTTAGGAGGTTTTTGAAACAGTTTGGACAAAAATTAATGAGGACCAAAAATAAGATGGTGTATGAGTGTGTGTGTGTGTGTGTGTGTGTGTGTGTGTGTGTGTGTGTGTGTTGATGTGATGTGATGTGATGTGATATGAAGAGAGTTCCAGAGGTGAGTGATATTGTGGGGATAGAATCTAGAAGACCACAGGGTCACAAATTTAGGGTTAGAAGGGACTTCCAAGGATGTATAATCCAACCCATCCCTACTTCTCCCTATCCTGACATTTTTTCCAACAAGGAAACTGAGCCCCTGAGAGGTTGTGATATGCCAACAGGCATACACATAGCAAGTTTCTGACTTGAGATTTGAACTTAAACTATCTGAATCTAGACCCAATACCCTTCCTACTATACCATATACCATATATATATATATATAAAATACACCATATACCATATAATATGCTTCCCTTTGAAAATTTGGTCACTGATTGCCTGGAAGATGGCTATGAGAGAAGAAAGAGTCTCATATGACTCCAAATTTGCCAATCTGTTTGACTGAAAGAATAGTAGGAGTATCACAGGAAGAAGAAAGTTCAGAGAATATGGGGGTGTATTTTGCAGAAAAGATGATAATTTTTGCTTCGAGCAAGTTGAATTTGAGGTGCTTATAGGACATCCAGTTTGATAAGTCCCAAAGGCAATTGGTAATGCAGGCTGGCACTCAGGGGACCAATTCACTGATGGAGAAAGAGATCTGAGAGTCATCTTCATAGAGATAATCACTGAACCCATGGGAGTGCTGAGATCACTGACAGAAGAAAAGAGGGCCTTGGAGAGAGCCTTGGGGGATACCCACATTTTGTGATGGTGACACAGATGATAGTCCAGCAAATAAGACTGAGAACAAGTAGGCAGAGATGGGAGAACAACAGTGAAATGGTGTTCCATAATCCCAGAAGAGAATGTCCAAATGGAGAAGGTAGTAAGAACAGCTGATACAGAAGTCCAGCAGGATGACAACCGACAAAAGATTTGGTTATTAAGTGATCGTGAGTGACTTGGGAGATAGTAATTCCATTTGAGAGATGCAATCAGATGACAGAATGGAAGGGCTTAGGAACTGAGTGGGAGAAGAGAAAAAGGAAGGAATGCGGCTACATGGATTTTTTGAGGAATCTGGCTGTGAAAAGGACAGACATAGGAGAGAATGGAAAGGCAAGTGAAGATTTTCCAAAGATGGGGTTGGGAATGGAGGATGCAGTCCTTTCATATCATCTGAAAAAGACCACTTACTTGCTGAGGATCACAGGAGATTGTGGCTGTGAAGCACTTTGGCAGCCTCAGGTTGGGTCACCCCAAAAGAGGCTACAGAAATGTGAGCCTAGAAGAAACAGTCAGGTCACTAGGGAAGTGGACTGAGACCCTGCTCTCCGGCAAGCCTGAGTCTTGAGGGGAGACAGGTGGCATGTGTGCCAATGAGTCATAAAGAAGGCATACAAAGCTAGGAAAGACGTAATCCTAGACCTACTGGGGTGACATCCAAGCATGGATGAGGGAGGGCTGGGCCTGCAGGCATTAGGGGATGGCAGGAAAGAGGGGCATGTCAGCCCGAATATGAGATCCTGCAGTTGTGACAGAGAGGATGTGTGCACCATTTATGCTTCCTGCTCCAGAGTAGCTGTGGGATGGCCTGGGCCAGCTTTCCGTTCCCCTGAATCCATGACCAGGGCAGTGATTTTTAGAGTGCACAGACACGACTAGGTTTGGTTCTATCAACTTTTTCTCCCTCCCTCTTGATGGAATTTCTGATTATTTTCACCACTGATTTGAACCGTACAATTCACAGGTTCCCCAATTCCTCGCTATAGCTCTAGACACAATGGGGCGTTCAGATTGGAGGTACACATATGTAAGAATTAGGTTCCTCCAGTTTGGAGTTGGAAGCAATCTCACTGACCATTTAGCAGGAGACAAATCAGCAGATTAAAGCTGGGACACACGCAAAAGAACATGGCTAACAGAACCAATGACTCATTTCTAGGGATGGGGAACTAGGATTTTAAAAAAGAGGGCTAACTTACAGTGGCACAGGAACTAGACTAAAATTTGGGTTATTTGGCCATGGGTTCAAATACTGAAGGCCCCTTCTGACCTTTGAAATGGCCTCAGTCATCTCCCTTCTCTTTCCTGGATCCTACTGACTCTTCTTCAAAATGATACTGTTGGATTTTGATGATCTGTGGTCCTTACCAACACAACAGGGACAGGAACCCTGAAACCGAGACACCTTGAAATGAAGCTGCAGGGTTGGGAATACAAGATGTTCTCCCTTCCATTAGCACTCAGCCTGACTTCTCACTCTCTTCTTAGCCTGGCACCAGAATTTCTCCTTGCCTCCCTGTCCAGCCTTGGCTTACCTCTCAGGCTTTGGCTGGGCACCCAGAACCCTGTGGGGCAGGAACTGGTGAAGATGACTACGAACAGCAAAGACACCTCCCAGGATAAGATCCCCCAATCTCTGGAAGTCAGGTTCCCCACGACCGAGGCCATGGCTCATGAGGACGCTGGCATTGGTGGAGGGAAGGAGCAGGAGTAGCGGCAGCAGCCCAGGGCCAAGGAGTGGTGCCGTTGTTGGCCCCACTGGGCCTGGCAAGGTCTTTATGTCCCCTCCTGGTCTGCTCCACAGAGCCTGAGGAACCAGCAGCCTCAGGGATTTCATACAAGAGAATGTCAGTCATTAAAAGTTCCTGGTCCGGAGCCCTAGGGGCACAGCTGAGCCCCTAGGCTCTCCCCTGGCTGTATGTGCTCCACTTCTGGAAAGTCAACCTGTGGGGCAGGGGCCCTGGGGCCCTACTCCAGCACGGACACAAATGGTTCAGAGATTTGGGGATTTGCCAATTAATCCCCTCCTCTTCTCCCTCCCAAGAAGGGTCTCCCTAGCCCTTCTCCCTTACTGCCAATTCAGCTTCCAGCTGGTGCTTAGCCTCCCCTGGGAAACAACCCCATGACTCAGAAATTTGAGCTGGAGGAGGCCTTCAGACCTTCAAAAAACAGATGAAGAAACTGAGAATCCAAAAGGGAGCCGATCCTAACCCTAACCAAGGTCAGCTGGGCCATAAAGTATAGTTCATGGACTTCACACAGCCACCACCCGTCTTACAGGCTTGCAGGTTGCAGAGCAGGAAGAAACACTGGACACCATCCATTCAAATGCCTTCATTTTCTAGATGAGGGAACGGACGCTCAGGGAGGGGAAGTGTTCTGCCCCAGAAAATACAGGCCATATGTATCTAATGAGGAACTATAATAACACATCCATCCTGCCCCTTAGACTCAAGATTTGGAGTAAGAGGAGCGCTTAGTACAGCGCCTGGCACGTAAGAGGTGCTTGATACTCCTGACTCTTGACTGACTTTGAAAACTCTTTTTTATAGATGAAGAAACTGGCTCAGAACAGAGCAACGGACTGCCCAAGATCCAATGGGCCACATCAAAACCTTCTGCCCCTTAGTTCAGACCACCATCACCTCTGGCCTGCACCATGGCAGGAGGCTGCTAACTGGGCTCCCTGCCTCCAGTCACATCAGGCCCTGCCTGTAACCTCTAATATGTTACTCAAGACACAAACTTCTCCTGATATCAGAGGGCCTCCCCTGCCAGGCCTCAGGCTGCCTTTCCAGTTTTAATGTCCCTTACCTACTCACCGGCTCCACTCTCATCTTTCCCTTTTCTATCCCTAGGCTCTCATTCACCCCATCCTGGAAACCTGGAGTAAATGTCCCCTCACATCTGTTCACTGAAGCTCCTCCCTTCCTTCCAGACACAAGACGGGTGCTCCCCTCCTGGCATCATGAATAGAGAGCTTGTCTCGAAGCCAGGAGGACCTGAGGTCATCCTGCCTCTGACACAGGTTGGCTGGGTGACCCTGGCCTGGGCTCAGAGCAGCTCACTATGACTCCAAGAGACAGAGAAGATGCCCATCTGCCCTGGTGGGACCCTCTCCTTTGGGTTCTTGGTTATTTGTTTTTGTTTTTGAATTTCAATATTAAAGGGTATGAAGCATTACTAGGTCTTGGGTTCAGCCAGAGTGGGGCAGGTGGGATGTTTTCTCCAGCATCATCAGCACCCCTACCCCCACCCCAGGGATTCCATTGCTCAGGGGGCCATAGCACAAGGGCCTTGCCACCTAGTAGCCTCCATTGTGTCCCTAAAGTTTTTGGCAAATATCACTGAAGACGTTTTTCAAATGTCCTCTTGCACTCAACACTAGAAAGCTTTAGGCAGCTGCTTTTACATCGATCATCCTCCTCATCAGTTCCTGAACCTCCATTTCTTGTTCTGTGCTGGTGTTCTCCTGGCAGATGAAGCCTCAGGAGAGAAAACCTAGCAAGTGCAGTCATGGAAGATCTATGTATGCATCTGTACATCTACACACAGGTAATATAAATGTATACACACACATACACACTTTTCCTTCTACTTGACAACTCCAAATACTGTTCTTCAACCATACTGTGATCTCCAGTCTCTCCATCCCTCAGTTCTTTTCCAGACCATCATCCCTGCACTTTTACACTCCCTTCCCTCTCCCAGCCTTCATGACCCAGTTCAACTCTACACTGCCCTCTTCTCTTGAGCCCCTTGTCCCCTTACCCTATCAAAGATCTTGCCCAGTTAAGCCTCTGCCCAGGATCACCCCTACCATCAGCTTCCTTCACTCCAGCTCATGGGCTGCCCAACAAAGCTGGAGAAAATCGTGAAACTGTGCTCACTGGGTCCATTACAAGTTTATGTTATATCATCTCAACTGGATCCACCCTGCAGCAAGGTAATCATAATTGTTTTACTATCGCATGACCACAGCTACTTTTCCAAACCTTTTCATCCCATCTCAAACCTCCCATACCTCCCTCTCCCCTCACTGAAAAAAGTGAGGTCCTTCTCTGGGTGACTTCTTGTCACCTCCTTCTCATCTCCCATCACACACATGCCCTTTGCAATGACATCCTCTTTCATGTCCATCTCAGAAGAAGCGGCCCTTCTCTTTACCGAGGCAAGCCCCTCCGTACGCACAAGTGAGCCCATTCCACTGTCTTCTCCAACAGATTGCCCCTCCCATCATCCCAACTGTCTCATTAATCTTGAATCTCTCCCTGCCCACTGGCTGCTTCCTTACTACCTACAAATATGCCCATGTCTTCCTCATCCTTGACAATTCCTTCCTTTATCTATCCATCCACACCACACGTCATCCTATGTCTCTCCTCCATCTTGATAAAATCATCTACATTCAGTGCTTTCTTCTTCCTCTTTTTAATTCTCTGCAGTTCAGCTTCCAACCTCATCATTCAACTGGAACTACTCTCTCCAATGTTATGAATGACCTCAATCGCAAATCCAATGGCCTTCAATTAATCCTCATCCTTCTTGACCCCTCTATCGCCTTAAATACTGTCCCTCAACTTCTCCTTGATACTTGGTTCTCTATGTGTTTTTGAGACACTGATGTTTCATGGTTCTTCTCTTACCTGTCTGGCTATTCCTTCTCTGTCTCCTTTGCCAGATTTTCATCTGCTTCATGCCTGTTAATAGTGGGAGTGTGCCAAAACTCCAGACCCTGTTTTCTTTTCTTTCTAGACTATTTCACTTGATAATCTCATCAGCTCCCAGGGTTTCAATGATTGTCTCTATGCAGATGACTCTCAGATCTACTCATCCAGTCCTCATCTGTCTCTCTTCTCCAACTGCCTTTTAGAAATATTGAACTGGATATCCCATTGACATCTTAAATTCAACACGTCCAAAGCTGAAGTCATTACTTTTCCCTCCCAATCCTTCCCTCCTTCTAATTTCCCTTAAACTGTCAAAGGTACCCACATTCTCACAGTAACGCAAGCTGGCATCTCAGGTGTCATTCTCAACTCCTCCCTTTCTCTCACCCTCTATGTCCAATCAGGAGTCAAGTCTTGGTATTTCTACAGTCCCAACCTTCCTCCTCTTCTCTGACATTACCAATATTCTGCTGCAGACCTTCATCACCTCACATCTGAACTATGGCAATAGCTTCTTGGGGGTCTGCCTGCCTCAAGTGTTCCCCATTTCAATCCATCCTCCACTCAGATGTCAAACTGATTTTCCTGAAATTTAGGTCTGACCATATCACCTCTGTCTAATCAATAAATTCCAGTTGCTCTCTATTATCATCAGGACAAATGTAAAATCCTGTTTGACTTTTAAAGCCCTTCATAACCTGTCCCCTTCCTACTTTTTCAGTCTTCTTACACCTTCTCCCTTCCATGTCTTTTTAATCCAGTGACACCAGCTTCTTTACTGTTCCTTGTAAAGGACATTCCATCTCTGGACACTGAACATTTTTATACGTTGTGCCTCATGTCTGGAATACTTTCCTTCCTCATCTCTGCCTCTTGACATCCTTCAAGCCTTGGCTAAAATCTCATCTTCTGCAAGAAATCTTTTCCCAGTCCTGCTTAATCTTAGTGCCCTCCCTCTGAGATAACCCCCAATGCATCCTCTATACATCTTGCTTGTACATAGTTGTTTATATGTTGTCTTTCCCAGAAGATGAGGAGTTTCTTGAGAGCAGGCCCAGTGGTTTTGCCTTTCTTTGTATCCCCAACATTTAGCACAGTGCCTGGCACATGGTAGGTGTGAGTGACTCCAACTATACCTATTTATGGAAGCAGCTAGGTAGCACAGTGCATAGAGTACTCACTCTACAGTTAGGAAGACGAGTTCAAATCCAGTCTGTGTGGTTGGACAGATCACTTAACCTCTGTTTGCCTGTTTCCTCTCTATAAAATGGGGTTAGAAGTAGGTTGTTGTAAAGACCAAATAAGATAAAATATTTGTAAGGAATTTTGCAAAGCTTGAAGAGTTATATAAATGCACACACTATCATGACACACACATGTATATACACATACAATACCTATATTTGCATGTGTATGTACATGCACATGCATATACACACAAGTGTATACCAGCACTACACATGCATGCATATAGGTGTATGTGTGTACATACCTACATGGGGTACGCACACACCTTAACGACTGTTTCTATCTGAATACCTGACTTCCATCTTAGACAATACCCATACCCACCACCTCACCACCACACTTCCTGGACCCCTTAGTTCCCCTTACTTTTCCCTTAACTCTTATGTGTCCACATCTTCTTTGATAGGGTCATGGTTATTGCATACTCTGACCTCTGCTTCTGCCTCACCTTATTTTTTCTGAAATTTTTTTTTCAGTCTTTTCATGCATCCATTTTCATGGTGTCCAATTCTCCAGTACTGTTCCCAAAAGTTTTAGTTGCATTTGATACTTACCAACCCCTGGAATGTCCCAGGGCATGACCCTGACTCAGCCTCAAACCTCATACAAACAGTGGAGGTGCCCTCAGTTCTTTTCTTTTTTTAAATAATTAATTAATTTATTTTTAGTTTTTGACATTCACTTCCATAAGATCTTGAGTTTTAAATTTTCTCCTCCTCCTTCTCTTCCCCCCCCCAAGTCAGTGTGCAATCTGATATAGGTTCTACTTATACATTCATATTAAGCATATTTTTCTATTAGTCATGAAGAATTAGAGCTAATGGGAGGAACCACGAGATAAAAGAAACAAAATA